ATATGCTTTAGTTTCTTTCATTCAAATGATGATGCAATCCAAAATCCATTTATCCAAAAGTATGAAGACTTTTATGTTTTTTTGGTTTCCGACTTTTTCGAAAAAAAGAAAAAAAAAATAGATTTGATAGATTGGGGTTTTTTGGATGTTGTGTTTGGTTCTCCATTGTAATTTGATTAAGTTTAATTTTGTTGTTGTTGTTGTTGACTGTTGGTCATTATGAAATTAATGAAATTATTATCAATTAATTTGGAAATATTAATTAAGATTTATATAATTAATTTAAGCTGAAAAAAATTGAAAAGGTTAAACAATTATCAAACGGATCATATAAATTTAGTAATAGTTTTAATAAATCTAAATTCATTTTTCAACTACGCTCTTTTCTTTCTTTCTTTTTTCTTCCTTTTCTTTATACACTACCACTACAAACAATTATTGAATCTTTTTTTCTTAAAAAAAATTCAAAAATGAATACTCAACAACAAAGCAATTCAAACAATAATATAAATCGAAATGATAATGATAATGCTAATGTTTCGGTAGAATTTCAAGTCACACATGATCCATTGGATCATGCTGAAAGCACAAGTCAGTTCGATTTAAGAATTGGAGATGAAATCGAAATCAATGATGACTTCAATTGGCTTTCAAATCATACAAATAATCGTAATGCAGAGTGGCGTTCAAGCCCTCTGCCACCAGTTCGTATCAATTTTGAACGTGCACGAAGTGTACCCAATGTACACGAATACTCTGGGAATGTTTCCTATAATGATGCACGCTCCCAGTCAGATTCCAATATATACTCATATCAAAGATCACAATCATTTCAAGATTGTGGAATGTTTGTTAATGTCAGTATACCTGACATGATGCAACAATTCGGAGGTAAATGAAAACACTTTTTTTTAAATTTTATGATATTCTACTAAATTTTATTTCATTTAGATTATTCAAACTCCGACGTATATGAAAGACCGGTGAGCGTGCCACCGGCACCGATCCATTCTGATTCTTTAGAACATGATGACTAATCATGTAAATTTACTTTTTCTATGTTTATATTATTTTTTTATTAAACTTTATTCATTTCTTTATAAGTTTGTTGCTTATCAATTTTTTTCATTTTTGAATACCTTTACACTTTTTATCTTTCGTAGTTGCGCGAATTTATCTAATCTTTCGAATCTCAAATGTGTATCCTGTTTGTTTTGTTTAATTATGTGCATCATTTGTTATGTGGAAACACACGAACAGCCAAAAATAAAATAAATTGACGTGATTTTCATTTTCTAACCATGAACACATTATGGAAACTCAGAATGGCGTTCAAGTCCCATGAGCACAAAATGACCATAATATACTGTGGTCATTCAAGAATATTGATCCACATGGTTTATTGATAACACTCGAATTATTCAAATAAAAATGGAATCTAAAAACAACAATCAATCCAATACAACCAATGTTGAACTTGAGTGTGTAAAACCATATATAAACCATTACATTTGTTAAAATAAGTTTAATGTTGATTGATCAAATAATAAAATTTATTTTCTAAAATCAGACAACAAATTATTTTGTTAATGATAACGAAATCCTTGTGTAAATATAAAACAAAATTTTTTTTATATACCTGATCCAAGAGATCAGTTAGAGACTAGCAGCCAATTCGAAGAAACAATTGGCAATTTAGTTGGTTAATTTAATTTATTTTTCAGTATTACTATTAGGGCTGAATTTTGATAGAATCTAAATTATCAGAATTATTATTATATATCGAATCTTTATCAAGTTTTAATTACAAATAAAGTTAGACAAAAAAGTTTTGACTATAAGTCATATTGGCTTGTCAGAGTCATGTTAAAGTAAATTGACGCCTGTATAAAAGCGTACAGAAAGAGCGCGAAACGGAGTTGACCACACGCCAGTCAAACCATTTATGTTTTTAAAATATCATTCATTGTTGTATTGGATTTCTTTTTCATTCCAACCATTCATATGGAATCTACTGATCAATTTGATGAAGAAATTAGTGATCAGCAACAATTAGAATTCGATTTTGATTGGCTTTATGCTAATACATATGAAAATAATTCGGGTAGCAATAACCAATCTAGCAATGAAAATCTGGAAAATGAAACAGATCAACAGATTAAACATGATTTTTTTGATGTTCCTGATCCAGATGATCTTATGGAAACATCGACCCAATTTACCCAAACAATCAAAGATGATGATCAAATGGCATTAGATTTTCAATGGCTTGGTCAGAATACTGATTTAAATGATACTTCAAATTTAAAATGACATTCAAGCCCGAACATGATCAAAATCCAACAAATTTCAATCAATGATGATAATTCATCAAATTCTAATGAAATTGCACCATACACACAGAAAAATAAAGTCGTAAAATATACGGCAAAATCCATAACATTTTTGGGTTTTAACGTCATCCACAAAATGTTACGTTTTTTTTTCTTTTTTTGTATTTCTGGGCAAAATCCATGAAATATTGAGGCAAAAAACTCAAATATTTGTGGCCAAAAAATCATGAAATATTCTGGAAAAAGACCTAATATTTCTTGGAAAAATCCATGAAATGTTCTGGAAAAAGACTGAATATTTTTGGGCAAAAAATCATGAAATATTCTGGTTAAAAATATTTTTATTTACAAAAAAATGCGAAATAAAAGAGAAAAGAAAGATAAATTTAGCCGACTAAGGTGGCATAAAGATCATTTTTTAAATTCATAAACAAAAAGTAAACAAGTTAATCAGTGAATAAAATAATTAAGATTATTGGCCAAGGATAGATTAAAATTCTCCGATTTGTTTGCTTTATTTTCCAGATTATCGCTCAAATCATGGCTATGTGATTTCTAATAATTTATCATGAATGGATGAATCTTCCTTGGTTGCCCTCAGTTCAC